TCAAAGTTGGAAAACCAGAAGAAACTGACCATCTTGGAGAAATGAGGCCGCTTTGCTCAAAGTCTGTGTCTTGGTAGAGGTTAAAGACAAGAAACCCTAAGAACTGGATATATTAATAGGGTGAGGGCATTATAGGGTTATCGATCCAAATATGAATTGGGATTATTTTGTTTGATTAATTTGATTATGATATAAGATTATAATATTTATTTATATTTCATTGAATTATTATTGCTAGTATTTAATTTTAAAGTAAAATTAATTTTTAAATAGTTTGGATTTATAAGATGATTTATTAAAATTTTGAAAAATAAATAAATAAGGATTCAAGAATACATGAAGCCTTCAAACTTATGAAAAATATCAGTTAATTCTCTGAATATTTTACACTCAATTAAATCTATAAACTAATAAATTAAATCAATTAATCATTTGAGTAAGTTTGATTATTTTTCTTTAATATGATTATTAAATCTTAACAGTTATTTATGAGATATTAATACTGTTAGATTATGGTTTTGTCACGTGAAGTTTATATATTTTTCAAATAAATCTTTTGTTTAATAGATTAGAGTGATTGTAAGGTACTACACTCTTCATACATAACAACTTGAACCCATGATCTCTAAGAAGAGCAATGACTCTTAAATCATTAACGTCACTTAATCAGTTTCATAAATATATATTTAAGGTATTTATTTATATATGTATAAATATAATGTAATGTGTTAATATTAAATTATTAATATATTAATATATTTCATTATATGTTTTTTTATATATAATATTGAATTTTTTAACTACGTCAATGGTCACTAATATTTGGATAAGTGTTTGTTTTCACCACTGATGTTTGAAATGTCACAAATCGATCATTAATGTTATCGTTTGTTACAAAATGGTCACTCAATGTTAACAGCCGTTAACAATCGTTACTGCAGTAACGGAATACTGACGTGGCACGTTAAATCAACTTACTCGGTATGTTTGACCGACCATTTGACTCTTTTTCTTCTTTTTCATCTTCTTCGTCCTCCTCCCATTAACCACCCACGACCATTTCAGACAAAACTATGCAAGAAAAAACACAGTGACAAAAAGATAACATCAAAAGTAAAGACAAAACCATGACAGCCACCTGGTGTCTTCTTATTTTTTTTTCATGTTTCAACTGCTCCTAGTCTTTCCCTAACCAAAAGTATAAACCCAAATTTATCTTTAAAATCTAAGCATTCCAAGTAGCTTATTATTATTATTATTATCATTTTTCACTTCTATGTTTTGCTGCTCCTATACATATATCATATAATGTACACAATATTATATATAGTGTGTCAATGTCGGATTTTTTTTAAACGTGTAATACTAACTGAACTAGGACTAATAGTATAATGTCATGCCCATGTGTAACTGATGTTGTATGAATCCTCAGAGTCTAATGTCATGCCCATGTGCAACTGATGTTGTATACTCTTTGATGTTCCAACAATCTGCATTCATACGTAATTAAACAAAAAACTGGTTCAAATTATAATCTTCATTTTCTCGACTACCAAACAGAACCCGAGAAAATTATAAACAGGGGAATTGTACCTTGCAACCAAGGCCGTGGCTAGGTTGTTGGAGGCCCTGAGCAAATTCTTGTAAAGGGGCCCTTAGATCTAGAAATTATTTTTCTAAAATAATAAATGACTAATTTCATTAACTTAAGATAGTAATTTCAAATCATCAATTACATCACATCCATAAAAAAAATACAACTTACAAATTCACTTAAAACGTGATACTCGTATTACATTCTTTGAAACAAAATCATCTATAAAAGTTTCAATATCAACGTCTTCCAAAATATCACTCTCAATAGATATTAAAGCAAGTCCATTTAGTCTTTCTTGTGTCATGTTTGTCCTTAAGTATGACTTGAGCAACTTTAGCTTTGAAAAACTCCTCTCTGCAGAAGCAACAATAACAGGTATAGTCAATAAAATTCTGTATGCAATTGTGACATTTGGAAAGTAATTGAAGCGTTTCAAGAACCTTAATATATTCATTGCTCCCATCTTTTCCTTAGGTAACATCTCTCTAAGCAATTTTAACTCAGTAAAAAGATCATTTCCATGACAATCAGAAAACTCACCTCTCCTAAGTGCATTTTCAAAGTGACTACAACATGATTGGAGTTTAATGTCATCCATTGATTGCAAATTTTCAGAAGTAAACAAAAATCCAAAAACACTCATATAATTCATATTGTTCAAACCTTTTTTCCAATGATGAAATAGCTTGATCAACAATGTAGATAAAATATTGAATTCTAAATTATTCCTCTGGAGATAATGATGTCTCCTCACTATCAACCTCATCAATTTGTCTTTTTTACGTATTATATGCCTTTGAGGAAAGATAGGGTTGACTCCAATTTTCAATGGCTATTTTTTTTGCACGGTCCATGGCATTTGAAAGTCCAACATCTCTATAATTTCTGAAAAAAGAAATCAATCCTTTTATCTCACACATAGCAATATCAATCACCATATTTTTTGACTGTAGATATTTGCTAACCTTGTTCACAACAGATAAAATATCATACCAAATGATTGTAGATAGTAAAAACTCAAAACTACCAAGCTCATTAGTTGCTAAAGATTTTGCTTCACTCTGAGTTTTAGAATCAATATCAACAGTAGCTACTTCAAGTAAGGCTTCCCTTAATTCAATAATTTGAAATCTTATTGCTGTGATACTATCAATTCGACTTTCCCAACGTGTGGCTGACAGTGATTTGGGAGTATACTCTTTCACATAATGTTTTAAAATATCCCACCTCTTTGTTGAACGAGCAAATATAGTATATATGCGTTGAACTAATCCAAAAAAGTCCCTTGCTTTATTTGAAGTGTTTGCAATGTCACACAAAACCAAATTAAGACTATGACAATCATATGGAGTATAAAAAGCTCTAGGATTCAAATCTAATAGTCTTTTTTGCACACATTGATGTTTACCTTTCATATTAGACCCATTATCATATCCTTGACCTTTAATATTATATATATCAAGATCATGGGATTTAAGCACATCTTCTAACACTTTAAAAAGTCCTTGGCCAGTTGTATCATTAACTTGTAAGAACTCGATAAAAAATTCTTCAATTTTAAAAGTATTAGAAGAACCATCAACACACCTTATAATTAGAGTCATTTGTTCCTGGTGACTAGCATATGGTGTGCAATCTAACATCACAAAAAAATATCTAGCTTCTTTTATTCTATTGATAATAATAGATCTAATCTTGGAGGAAAGCAAAAGTGTCAACTCGTTTTGAATGTCATTACTTAGATAATGGTAATGAATCTTACCACTAGTAATACGTTGAACATGTTCGATCACTACAGGATCAACTCAACCAACATTTCTATCAAACCCAAAAAATTCCCATTGCTCTTTTGATATAATTTTCCATCCCCCCCCGAAATGCTAGGTTATTTTTAGCAAGATACTTCACAATAACAATAATTCTAATAATTACATTTTTTAAATACTCTTTTTCTTTCTTGAATTGTTCTTGAGCAACTTTATCAATTGTTTCATTTTGTTGCAGCCTATGCCTAAGTTCACACCAAGTTGCCATGTTTAGTACATGGTCAATACTTGTTTCATGTTCTGTAACTCTGGTACTAAGATGCATCCAATTATTATATCCTTCGTTTATTAAATTACCTATCCTAGGACCAAGACCTTTTTTAAAAATCTTACAACAAAAACAAAACACTTTGTCGAGTTCTTTCGAATAAACAAGCCATTCCCTATCACAAGTTTCGCCATTCGACAAATATCTTGTATAAAAGGTTGAAGAAAATCTATGAGAAAATTTGTCTTTGGGGCCTTTCACAATGCTCAAGTCTCTTTTAGGGCCATTTACAGCCAAAATGTCAATCAATTTAGACTCAAGAGAATCCCATTTTCTTGGATCATATATGTCAACATAAACAGATTCATTTTGTTTAGCATTGCGGTTAGTATGATCAGAATTATGGTCCACATTTTGTTCAGAATTATGGGAATATTGGCATTCTTCTTATTAACAACACCATCCACAATTTCCTCTTCTTCAACATTCTCGCCATCGACATTAGTTCCATTTAATTCCTGAGAGTGAGAATTAACATTATTTTCCTCTATTTGGGTATCCTTTTTTAAAAAACTTATCCAAAGCACCTTTTTGAGACTAAATTAATTGTTCTACTATTTTAGTTTTTTGACACTTTTTATATCCAGATTGATATTTTCGAATCATATTGAACAAAATTAACACAAATCAAAAACAAATCAGAGTGAGATAAGATAGCACCAGAGTTCTGAGTTCAACTTCCAATTTGGCATGTCATCTACTCCAACTCGGCAACTCTCCTCAAATTGACATCATCAAATCTGCAATTTAAATACAATAATAAGAACTAATTTAAACTAAGAAAAAAAGGTTGAACCATTAAATTGAAAATAAGTAATACCCATCTCTTTAATTTCTCCTGGAAATGGAATATTCAATTTCTCAAAATTGAAATTATTAAAGAGATTGAATTTGGGAAAATATGCAGGAATTAAGAAAGAAGAATCGAAGTGTGTGGAATAATAAGAAGGAAACATGCATTTTTGCCTTTTTTAAGTAATATTATAATTGAAAAAGCTGGAAATCACATGCAAAGCAGTTGAAAAACTGGAAATCACATGCAGAACTGTTGAAAAGCTGGAACAATAGCAAAGCATTAGTAACTGGGCCGTTGAAATCACATGCAAAGCATTAGTAACAATAGCAAAGTATTAATACAACTGTATTACACCAAATATATTAAAAAGGTTATGTTTTCGTGTTCCCAAAGGCCAAATGTATGTTTCTTTATAGCAGTATTTTGGGGGCCCTATTTTTGTGGGGGCCCTGCATCGTCGCGCAGTTCACGCCGGCTCAGCCACGTCCCTGCTTGGGCTTGATTTTACGGACAATGGTTAATGGGAGGAAAAAGAAGAAGAAAGAAGAGTCAAACGGTTGGTCAAACATGCTGAGTTAGTTGGTTTAACATGTCACGTTATCATTCCGTTACTGTAGTAACTATTTGTTAACGACGATTAAAAAATAGTGACTTTTGTAACAAGCGATAACATTAGTGATCGATTTGTGACTTTTCAAACATCAATTGAGAAAACAAATACTTACCCAAACATTAGTGACTATTGGCGTAGTTTACCCTTTTTTTAATAGAAAGAGGTAGGACCATAAATGAAACGAGACAGATCGTGAGCTATTCGAGATCGACTCAACCAAAGCTTAATAAATACTCGAGCTCGAGCTCTTAATGAGCTGAAACGAGCTACTTGATACTCGACTTGAAAAACTCGCAAACAACTCGAAAATATAATATATTAAGATTTTGTTTTTTACAAAATAAATTATTAATAATATTAACATTTATTTATTGATATTTAAAAAATACATTATAAAATTTTCATGTATTTAAGGTTCAAGTTTGAGTTTTAATTGAGTTAAGTTTAAGAATTTTTTTTATTTAGAGCTTTTTTGAGCTTATACAAGTTTTAATTGATAATTTCGAGTTCGGGTGGAGCTTGAAAATTGTAGACTTGTGAATTTTTAAGTCGAGTCGAACTCTATTTTTAAGTTTTCAAATATAGTCTAACTTAATAATATTCGAACTGGACTCCACTCGTTTACATCCCTCGAAAGAGTCTTAAACTTGGCTAACCCGTAATAAATTTTGTATATGGAGGGCCTAACACATCCCTTACTAATAGCAGCATGATGTTAGTAGTTGCATGGAATATACCCCAAATTTCAGCTTGTAAGAGGGCGGTGATACCAACGAAATGGTGAAAATTGGAAGCCAAGAACCATCACTAGAATGTAGAGCTCCTCCGATATTAAAATTAGAAATTTGATGAGTTGGAATCATTTAAATAAGATCAGGGATTTGAATCCTTTTAGCAATGTTAATTGTTTCTTACTGATAAACCCCTCGCTGCCGCCGCCTCCTGATTCGTTTTCACTTGTAGCTGTGTCATGAAAAGCTTAAACTTTTACTTGGGCACTGTTGCTTCCGATACTTGGACTGACCAGATTTGAAACTATATGATCAAAAGTCCACCGCCCTTGTCTTGATTTTTCCTCTCTGCACTTGCACTCATCGTCTCTTTCTCAATTTGTTTAGTTCGGTCTTCCCCCATCAACGCCATTAGTTTTCTCTTCCCCTTGTTGTTCTTCAGCTACTGGGTTTTGTCTTTCTTCATCGTCTACCCTGGGATTTACTGCTTCAGGCACAACATCTTCCAGCTTGCCTGGTTTCTTTTAAGATCGAATAGGGTATTCTTAATCAAGAGTTGATGGAACCGGCAAGTGTTGTTTATATTGAAAGGAGGTTAAGGGGGAGTGACGGTTCAAGTAACATGTGGGGAAAGTGAAATGGGTTACAAGTATTAGTTAACAATGAGTGTCACTTTGCTTACAACGTGCATTGTTTTGCCCATTGCTTATAGTTGCCACTAGTAACTGTAGCGAAAGAGGTCATACATGTTTATCATTTTTTTACAAGTTATTCTTTATTATCAATGTTGTTCTTGTCTCATATAAGCGCATCGATGAACTAAAAAATGTTTATTCTGAAGAGATAAATCATTTGATTGAAGAAGAACAATTTGAAACTGGAACTGGTTTGAATCAAAAAAGTAATTTGCAGAGGGCGGGTGATACTCGATGGGATTCTTACTTGACATCAATTTCAAGTTTGATAAAAATGTTTAGTGCCACTTGTGTTGTGTTATATAAACCCATTGATGAAGGAAGTACATCTTATGAACGTGGAGAAGCGGCGACAACTTTAGAGACTTTGACTTCCTTTGATTTTGTCTTCGTTTTACATCTTATTAAAAAAATATTAGAAATCACTGATTCACTTTCTCAATCATTACAACGAAAATCTCAGTATATTTTGAATTCACTACATCTTGTTGAGAGTTCAAAGATACTTTTGCAGAAATTTAGAGATCATGGATGGAATAATATTTTTATGGATGTTACCTCATTTTGTGAAAGTCGCAACATAAATATCCAAAATATGAGTTCTATTTATAGAGAAATAGGAGGTCGCGCTCGTCGCTAACAAGATCATTTTACAGTTGAACATCATTATCGAGTATAAATGTTTTATGCTATAGTTGATGTTCAACTACAAGAGTTAAACAATAGATTTAATGAGAAGTCGATAGAGTTATTAACTCTTGGTTGTGATTTGGAGCCAAGAGATGGTGACAAATTTTTCAAGGTTGAAGATGTTTACAATCTTGTGAATAAATTTTATCCGGAGGATTTCAGTGAAGTTGAAAAGAATGATTTACGAACGATATTGCGTCATTATGAGGTGGAGTTATCTTGGAATTTAGGTCTAAGAAAATTGTTGACAATCTCTGACCTAAGTCAGTGGTTGGTGGATACTAAGAAAGTGAACACTTATCCATATATATTCCAAACGGTAAAACTTCTATGGACTCTCTCAGTTTCTACAGCAAGTACTGAAAGAGTTTTTTCTACAATGAATATCACCAAGACAACACTTCGCAACAAAATGGAGGATGAAATTTTAGAGTTGCATGCTTATCAACATTGAAAGAGATATTGCAAGGAGCTTTAGTACAACATCGCTCGTTGATGCATTTCGAGATTTGAAGGAACGACGCGTTTTATTGTGATTATGTGATAGTTATGTATTTTGCACTTTTTAAAATCGTATTTTTTATTTTTAAATTTTTAATTTCATATAAATATAGAACTATGCATATTTGATGTTATCATTTTTTTTGAAATAACAAATAATAAAGGTAAAATTAAATATATAACTTAAAGTTGTTAAAAAGATTCGACTTCTGTTGAGATTTAGTTCTGGCTCCGTCCCTGCTCAACACTACATACATACACACACAATTTTTTTTTAATCTTTGTTACTCTGTACATCAAGATTTCTGGTGAACTTTTTTGTAATAGAGATTTCGGATGAATATCTTTGAACACACAACATTCGAACTGTTATATCTCTCAAGAAATCACAATCTTTTGATATGATTTTTTTTAATAAGTCCCACGTGATTCATCAAAATTGATCATCAAATAAGTCTGTCTATTCTATCAACCAACAAGTACTTATCATAGACCTACATCGACACCAACACTAAGGTTATTATAAAGCCTCTCGATGTAGACCGAGAGGGGACATTGGAATCCAATATCTCTATGTTCACCCTTCTTCCTCACAAAAAAAGAAGGCTTTCATACTAAGGGCAATTTAGTCACTAGCTGCAACTCTCCATCCAAAACAAAAGAATAGAATGTATAGTCTATAACCATTCTAAATTTTTTTTTACCTATAAACAAATATGTAGGCAACTAGCATCATATCCAGATGTTGAAGAAAAGAGTTTCAACAATTTGATGCATTTTACAGGAAGCAAAAAGCCATTATAAGCAATTGCTTGTAGAGTTGAATCATGGTAAATAAGGTAATCCCATGTCTAAAATATGTAAATCTCATCATCAACACGTAACTCATTGCATGTGATCCAAACATGTATTAGGTATATAAAATATTGGTTGTCTCTGTCAACTAGGTCCCCTCTTGTTACTAGGGATGGCAATGGGTCGGGTCGGGTTTTTGGGCCACCGACCAAAAAATCTGACCCGATCCGAGAAGAAAGGGTTCTCCACCCGTGACTCAACCGACCTGACAAAATTAAGGTTTCACCCGACCCGACTCGACCTGAATATATGACTTAGAAATCGACCCGACCTGACTCGACCCGAAATAATAAAAAAATATATTTTTATTCAATAAAAACAATGACTTAATTGAACAAAATTATATATAGAGGGTATTATTATAATTATCCCTAAATATATAGGGTAAAATTATATATATTTTTCGGGTCAGGTTTTTTCCACCCTAAACCTGACCGAACCTGAATTTTTTTTTAAAAAAATCCGACCCGATCGAGTCGGAACCCGTCAGGTTCAGGTTGAGTTGTCATCCCTACTTGTTACATGGTTCACTGAAAGTGAAAGAACACTAAGGTCATCATCCCAATTCTCAACTATAAAGACCCACGAATACTGAAGATTCATCATTGTGCAAAAAAGCTCTTAAAAATCATGGGTTATCTTCGACCTTTGATCTTCTTTGTTCTGGCAGCTTTTCCTTTCATGTTTATTTTGTTGGAAGCGTAGGTGGGCTCTCGGTAATTTATAACTCGAACTATTATTGATACGAAGCAAAAAGATGTTACAACGATGTTACCCCAATATCACAACACTACAACACGAGTTGCGGCTAATTTACAAACACAACCTCGCTATTCTAAGCTTTGCTAACCTCTCTCAAATTCTCTCTAGCTTTTCTAAGCTTTCAATCATATTCCATCTCATATGTATTCATATAAACTAAAGCTATCAACATATATATTTATAGGAATAATAAACCGCCTAATTTTATGCTCAGGATGCTTCTCAATTTCTCTCCTTTAATTTGCTTCAATTCACTGCCTTAAATTCCTTTACAACTAAGCAATTTATTTGTTTCTTTCACCTTTCATATCCACATGGTTATTTGTGTATCCATGCAACTTGTATATTTCCTTTGCTTTATATCCATCTTTTTTGACTTTTCAACTTTGTTGTAGGTTCTACACTATTCTTTCCTTATCAAGTTTAATTTCTAACACTCCCCCTCAGACTTGATTTTCCATTTCGATCTTTTCTCCACTTGTCATCTCCAATCGATGCTTCATTTCTTGGCAAGTGCACGCTGCTGCGGCTATGTATTCTTCTTTGTTTTTTCGACACCTTGTAGAGATTTTTGCAAAATCTCCCACGGTTGTTTTGCGGTTTTTGCATTAGAAATTTTTTGCAAAGGTAGATTCGTCTACTCCTTGAAAAAAAAGAACAACGCTCTTTTATTTTGTTTCCTGGGATTCTTTCAATACATTTTTTTCATCATTGGTCAGGACTGCTTCTGCTACTGCATTTTCAGGCTCGATGTAACCATCTTCGATGATATCCCGACAATGTTGGGAGCCTAGTAACGCCTTCATTTGAATGCTCCAATTACCATAATTTGTCTTTGTCAATTTTGGGATTTGAGGTTGAATCATGTTGGCCATCTTCTCTACCACGTTAAACTCGAGCCAAGCTCTAGATACCACTTGTTGGAAGCGTATGTGTGCTCTCGGTAATTTATAACTCGAACTATTATTGATACGAAGCAAAATATGTTACAACGACGTTACCCCAATATCACAACACTACAACACTAGCTGCAGTTAGTTTACAAACACAACCTCGTTATTCTAAGTTTTGTTAAGCTCTCTCAAATTTTCTCTAGCTTTTCTAAGCTTTCAATCATATTCCATCTCATATGTATTCATATAAACTATAGCTATCAACACATATACTTATAGAAGTAATAAATCGTCTAATTTTATGCTCTGGATGGATGTTTCTCAATTTCTCTCCTTGAATTTGCTTCAATCCACCGCCTTAAATTCCTTCACAACTAAGCATTTCATTTGTTTCTTTCACCTTTCATATCCACGTGGTTATTTGTGTATCCATGCAACTTGTATATTTCCTTTGCTTTATAGTCATCTTTTTTGACTTTTCAACTTTGTTGTAGGTTCTACACAATTCTTTCCTTATGAGTTTGATTTCTAACATATTTCTCCGTCTCTTTCCTCTTTAGATCATGATCGTGTTACTTTGTCACTGTACTATGAAACTTTAAGCCCATAATGTGCCTCTTTTATCTCGAATAACCTTGTTAAGGTCTTCCAAACTGATATGTATACCATTGTCAATCTAAGGTTGATCCCTTGGGCAATGCCGACGTTGTTGGCGATAGGATCCGTTGCCAAGTTAGAACTCCATTCTTCATTTTCATGTATTCTCATGATTAAAGAAGTTTAATCTTTTGTAACAATATGTAGCATGGAGAAGATGAATGCTACTTAAATGCTATAGATAGTTGTGTCATCCACTTGTGGCATGATGTGGTAATTTCTACTAGCCAAAAGTATTTGGATTTTGATTCGTCTCGGACTAGTGTTTAATTGCTTTACTGTGGTTCAGAAAACGCACTTCGATTTCGTTCGCTGCACGGAGGAACAAAGGTTAAATGTATCTGTTAACAGCAAAGAAGCAAAGTGGAGAAATTGCAGTGATCAGCTGGGATTGAGAGCAGATATGATAAACAAGTGCTACTCTACTGGACTTGGAATCAAGGTTGGTTGTATATCTTGCTTCACTTCGTTTAATCATGTCATTCTTCCTTTAACACTGAATTGCATGCAAATTAATGTTTGATAGCTTCTGCTACGATACGTAACGAGACTGTGAATCTCAATCCACCTCATGAATATGTTCCATGGGTGGTGGTGAATAATCATGCACTCAAAGATGTGAGTTCCACTCTGTGCGACTTTGAAGTAACTTTTGTGACAGGTAACTTGAATGTTTATTTCATGTTGCAGGACTTTGAGAATTTTGTGGAATATGTCTGTGATGCTTATCAAGGAGATCCTAAACCAGAGGCTTGCAAAACACAATCATCGGAGTCGGCTCGACCCCCCGATGAGATCACAAAAAATATCCGTCCAGGCTGCTATGCTAGTGAATTTTCACGAACTTGAAATAGATCTTAAAAGAGGCCTTAGCTTCTGCTTTGTCCAATGCAGCTACTTCACCATTCACCATCCACAAACTGTAATAAAACCAGCTGCTAGTTATCATTATATGAGACTTGTAACAGCTGATTCTATGAATGAAAAATCAACATCCTTTTGTTTTATGTCTGTGTGGATATTGGAACTAAATATATAAATTGGAGAACCATAACCATTGTGGGATATATATATATATATATATATGTTAAAACTTAGTTTCAAAGTTTGGTAGATGTTTGTTGAAAATAGGAATGGGTAAATTCACTTTAGTCATTGCACTTTAGGGTATTTTCAAAGATTAGTCCATAAGTTTCAACTATAAATACCCTAGCTCATTTAGCTTCAAATAATCCCAAAATCCTAAATCATTTATTTCTCCCAATACTAGAGAGTTTCTTGTGATTAGTGAGTGTTTTGTAAACACCTATAAATTTTCTCTCTTAGTAAAAGATATGCAGCAGTCCGGAGACGTAAGCACAATTGGCTGAACTCCGTTATCAATTTTCGGGTATTATTTTTCCGCTTTTATTTTGCATTCTTACTAATCTGGTTATAGGGAAATTACTTGTTTACTCGTTTATTTTCCAACAACTGGTATCAGAGCTTTTGGTTGTAAATTTTATCAATTTTTACGAGGTTACAATTCATTACTATTCACATGAATAGTGAATTTCGTGAATTGTAAAAATTTTATCGACGATACAAATTTGTCGACGGAGGTGTTCTAATACATGGTGGTTCGCAAGAATTGTCATAAACGATCCAAACAAAGCCAGATTCGAGTGGGAGCAATGGCTGCAGACGAAGGGAAGGTGAAAATTGAAAAGTTCGATGGTGCAGACTTTGGCTTTTGGAAGATGCAGATTGAAGATTTTATGTACCAGAAAAATCTATATCAACCTCTCTCAGGAAAGCAACCAGAGGGCATGAAGAATGAAAACTGGGCTCTTCTCGACAGACAAGCCCTCGGAGTTATCCAACTGACGTTATCCCGCAATGTTGCTTTCAACATAGCAAAGGAAAAGACCACGGCGGGTCTTATGGCGGCTCTCTCTAGTATGTATGAGAAGCCATCAGCCTCAAACAAAGTTCACTTGATGAGGCGATTATTCAATTTGCGGATAGCGGAAGGGGCATCAGTGGCTCAACACCTAAATGAACTCAACACAATCACAACCCAGTTGAGTTCCGTGGAAATTGAATTCGATGATGAAGTTCGAGCTTTAATTCTCTTATCATCTCTACTAGACAGTTGGAATGCTACTGTTACAACAAATTAAAATTCGACGATGTTTGGATCTGGTATTGAGCGAAGAAATTAACGGAGAGAATCGAGTGAAGTATCAATCTCCTCAGCCTTGCATACGAAGTCCAGAGGGAGAACTTCAGAAAGAAATTCAAATTGTGGCAGATCCAAATCCAGAAGGGAAAAATTAAGAACAGGGAAGAAAGATTTTAACTGTTATAATTGCGGTAAGAAGGGTCACTTTAAAAGAGATTGCCGAGCACCGAAGAAAAATACCGACGTATAAGAATCTACCAACATGACAGAGGAGACAGGTGATGCCATGATTCTAAGCGTCAACAGTCCGATTGAATCATGGATCTTGGATTCAGGGTCATCTTTTCACTCCACCCCATGCCGAGAAATCATGGAGAACTATGCTAGTGGTGATTTTGGGAAGGTTCATCTAGTTGATGATGAAACCTTGAAGATCATCGGAAGAGGAGACATCTAACTAAAGCTGCCAAACCAGACCACCTGGACGCTGAAAGGTGTGAGACATATTCCTGGCCTAAAAAAAAATTTGATTTCCGTAGGACACCTTAATGGAGAAGGTTATAGTACAGCCTTTTCAGGCTGTGAATGGAAGATTACAAAAGGAGCACTCGTCATTGCTCGTGGTAAGAAGACTGGTACTCTCTATGTAACCTCAAACTTAGAGAATATCATTGCAGTAGCAGATGCTGATGGAAAATCAAACCTATGGCATCAAAGGCTTGGCCATATAAGCGAGAAAGGGATGAAGACACTTTTGTCAAAAGGGAAGCTGTCGGATCTAAAAAATGTAGATGTCGGGCTGTGCGAGGATTGCATCTTTGGCAAACAAAAGAAAGTTAGTTTTGCAAAGATTGGTAAGACACCCAAGGCTGAAAAGTTAGAGTTGGTTCATACTGATGTATGGGGATCATCTCCAGTTTCATCTCTTGCATGCTCATTATATTATGTCACCTTCATCGATGATTCTACAAGGAAGGTGTGGGTTTATTTTCTGAAGAAAAAATCAGAAGTCTTTGATACATTCAGAAAATGGAAGGTCATGGTGAAAAATGAGACTGGTCTGAAAGTCAAGCGGTTGAGGTCTGATAATGGATGAGAGTACAAAAATCATAGATTCAGAGAATTTTGCGCAAACAATGGGATCAAGATAGAGACAACAGTTCCCATGACACCGCAACAGAATGGCATAGCAAAGCGCATAAACAGAACTCTGAATGAACATGCCAGAAGCATGAGGATACATGCCGGATTGCCCAAATTTCTATGGGCTGAAGCTATCAACACTGCAGCTTACCTGATCAACCATGGGCCCTCAGTTCCTTTGGATGGCAGAATACCAGAGAAAGTTTGGAGAAATAAATAAATAAACCTTTCACACTTAAGAGTGTTTGGTTGTATTTCTTATGTATACATAGACTCTGCTAAAAGAAGTAAACTTGATGCTAAGTCCAACAAATGTGCCTTTGTTGGTTATGGCGGTGATGAGTTCGGTTATCGATTTTGGGACTACGAAAATCGAAAGATCATCAGAAGCAGAGATGTCATTTTCAATGAGAATGTGATGTACAAAGACAGGTCAACTGTAGAATCAAGTAGCTCCAATACCGAAGCTGAAACAAAGGAATTTACTGAGTTCGAGGAGATTTCTAGAAATGATGTTCAGATCAATCCTGAAGTAGTTCAAGAAGAACCAGGCACACCAGAACTAAGATGCTCCCCCAGAATTCCTAAACCAACCCAACGGTATTCTCCTTCTTTGCACTACTTATTGTTGACAAACAATGGTGAACCAGAGTGCTATGATGAAGCAATGCAAGTGGAGGATTCAGTCAAGTGGGAGTTTTCCATGAAAGATGAGATTGACTCGCTTATGTCAAATCAGACGTGGGAATTAGCTGAATTACCACCAGGCAAGAAAGTGCTCCACAACAAGTGGATTTACAGGATCAAGGAAGAGCACGATGGGAGCAAACGCTACAAAGCGAGATTGGTTGTCAAAGGTTTTCAACAAAAAGAAGGTATTGACTACAATGAAATTTTCTCTCCAGTCGTGAAGCTGTCTACAATTAGACTAGTATTGAAAATTGTAGCCGTAGAGAATTTACATCTTGAGCAGTTAGATGTAAAGACAGCTTTCCTTCATGGTGATTTGGAGGAAGAAATATATATGAGGCAGTCATCACAGAGGCAGGCAAGAAAAACCTGGTATGCAGGTTGAAGAAGAGCTTGAATGGTTTAAAACAAGCTCCTAGACAGTGGTACAAGAAGTTCGATAGCTTCATGGGTAGCAGTGGTTTTACCAGATGCCAAGCAGATCATTGTTGCTACATCAAGAGGTTTGACAATAGCTTCGTTATTTTATTGTTGTACGTTGATGACATGCTCATTGCAGGCTCAAATATGCAAGAGATTATACACTTGAAGCAAAAATTGTCGAAGCAGTTTGCTATGAAGGATCTAGGCGCTGCAAAGCAGATTCTTGGGATGAGGATCAAGAGAGACACAAAGTCGGGGACTTTGATGTTATCACAGGCTGAGTAGATCAACAAAATACTCTCCAGGTTCATCATGCAAGATACTAAACCAGTAAGTACACCTTTATGTGTTCATTTTAGACTCTCCAAAGAACAGTCACCAAATACGGAGGAAGAACGTGCACACATGGTGAAGGTACCGTATGCCTCAGCAATTGGAAGTCTAATATAATTTCAAGGTTTGTACCAGACCAGATATTACTCAAGCAGTGGGAGTTGTTAGCAGGTACATGAATAATCCGGGCAAGGTACACTGGGAAGCAGTCAAATGGATCCTCAGATATCTGCGGGGTACTACAAATAAAGCACTTTGTTTCAAAGGTGGAGATACGATACTGACAGACTATGTAGATGCTGACTTAGCCAGAAATATTGACATCAGAAGGAGCACTATAGGGTATGTCTATACTCTAGGAGGAACTGCAGTGAGTTGGGTTTCTCAACTACAGAAGATAGTTGCTCTTTCCACAACTAAAGCAGAATATGTCGCTGTTACGGAAGCTAGCAAGGAGATGGTTTGGCTCCAAAGTTTCTTGGAAGAGTTAGGCAAGAAACAAGGAAACAATGTCTTGTATTGCGACAGTCAAAGTGCTATCCATCTAGCAAAGAATCCGTCTTTTCATTCCAGGACGAAGCACATACAATTGAGATATCATTTTATCCGATCTCTTCTGGAAGATGGGATTTTGAAACTTGAAAATATTAGTGGAGCTCAAAATCCGGCAGACATGTTGACAAAGACGGTGACTACAGACAAACTGAAGTTGTGTTCAACTTCAGTTGGCATGCTAGAATAACAAGACTAGAAATACTGTTGCATTAATCGAGGTGTGAAGACAGATTAAAATCAGTCTTCAAGTGGGAGATTATTAAAAGTTAGTTTCAAAGTTTGGTAAAGTTTGGTAGATGTTTGTTGAAAATAGGAATGGGTAAATTCACTTTAGTCATTGCACTTTAGGGTATTTTCAAAGATTAGTCCCTAAGTTTCAACTATAAATACCCTAGCTCATTTAGCTTCAAAATAATCCCAAAATCTCAAATCATTTTTTTCTCCCAATACTAGAGAGTTTCTTGTGATTAGTGAGTGTTTTGTAAACACCTGTAAATTTTCTCTCTTAGTAAAAGATCTGCAGCAGTCCGGAGACGTAAGCACAATTGGATGAACTCCGTTATCAATTTTCGAGTATTATTTTTTCGCTTTTATTTCGCATTCTTACTAATCTGGTTATAGGGAAATTACTTGTTTACTCGTTTATTTCCCAACATATATATATATATGTGCAACTATATACGTAGGTGTTTGAGTGTTTATAACCCTACAAAATAAGGGAACTTTTGAGTGTTTTCACAAAGTAATGGCTTCTTCTAGGTTACTCTCTTTTCTTCTCCTTTCTCTGCTTGTCATCTTCATTTATCCATCTAATTCTTCTCCAGAAAACAATGTCACCGAAGCTCAATCTCACATCAGATTTAAAAAAGCTAGTTTGTCTCTTTATTACGAGGCTCTATGCCCATACTGCCGGAGTTTCATCGTAAGTCGACTCGTGAAGGTCTTCAACACCGATCTTCTTAACATTATCAATCTCAGGCTGGTTCCATGGGGCAATGCAGAATATGTAAAAACTAACAAGACCATCATTTGCCAGGTTGAGTTTTGTTACTTCCATAACATCGATCCCGAAGTTTCATTGCTTCGTAATTTTAACACGTTTTATTTGTTTATGTTTACAAATCAAGCACGGAGAAGATGAATGTTACCTCAACACCATACATGCTTGCGCCATCAACATCTGGCCTGATCCGGTAAGTCACCTTTCTCATCACCCAAATCGTTTCCTTTCAGCACAAGAAGCAAGTAGATTACTTAAACTGGTCAGGAACTAGAAAACGAATCTCTTAATTTCAAAGGAAAAGTACTCCAGCAAATGATTTGATCACCACTTGCCACGGAGAAAGTAGGTGTATCCATTACTTCTCATTAACTCTGTATTTAATACCGCAGAGAAAGCATTTCAACTTCATCTACTGCGTCGAAAATCAAGGCCCCGACGGTACCGATGCCGTCTGGAAAACCTGCTCTTCCACATTAGGAATGGACCAGAAACTCATCAAGAACTGCTACGACAGCGGATACGGAAGAAAGGCAAGCTTCTTCTACCTGGAACATGATGTTTCATAATCAAAATAGATCTAGACCCATCAATCACACAACAGTTTTCTGCAGTTTTAATTAAACAACGCCCCCAAATTTTCCCATCAAACACATGAGAAAGTAGTTGAGTTTCATTTAATGTGATGGGGTTGTTTTTTCTCAAACATGCCATCACTAACACCAGTTGAATGTGAATGCAGCTTTTACTGCGGTACGCTACTGAAACTGATGATTTACATCCAAAACATTCATATGTTCCCTGGGTGACTGTGAATAATCAACCTCTTTATGATGTTAGTCTCTCATCTCTCTCTCTCTCTCTCTTTTCCTGTTTCCTGTTACATCCAAAACCCTTTTGTTTGTCTGATCCGACCCTCTGAAAACAGCAATACGAGAACTTTATAGCCTATGTCTGCAATGCTTACAAAGACAAATCTTGGGTAAAGGCCTGCCTGTCGCGTTCTCTAAATGCAACTGAAGAGAAATCTGCGATTTCCAAAAGATCCCACAATGGAGGGAAGTAGAAGCAGCCTGTATGAATTCATATTGTATTGTGATCATGATCATTTGCCTACCATTATGTGATGTACTAATGGTTCTTATGATTTGTTATGGAACCAGAAGCAGTTAGTGCCTGTTTATTTGACAATAATTAAAGGCATAATTAGACCTTCTGTTTGCATGTACTTGTATATTCAGTAACCAATAAACAATTATTGAACAGAAAAACAACTAATCATTACTAGTTTTCATTGTGTTCACTATTTTCACATGATTAATCCTTCTATGTATGAAAAAAAATAGCTTTAATTTCTCCAGCAAGAGACCTTGACTAATGCATTTCCTCTCCACGCCAAGGCCAATTCATTCCCAGAATTCCCTCCAATTCTCACCTCATATGAATTTTCCCTTCCACTCACCATTTCTTTAGCTTCCGTTAATCTCTCTCTGCTCACCTTCAGACCTTCCATCGTCGTTGCCTCGAAACGGCGAGTTTCATTCACCTGTTCCCACTTTTGGAACCAAGCTTGGGCACAGATATTAGGCCCTATGAACAGGCACTCCATTGCCATTCTTGCTTGGACCAAGTGCTTCGCGATGTCGGATTCCATAGACTCCGTAATAGCTCGGTAGTGACTCAATTGTCCATCGAAGAACGCCCCGAATCCGGAACAATCTTTCAGTTTTTCACAAGCATCTCCATCACCAAGTGTTATGATTCCCCTGTTTCTTGCCAGTAGTTGTTTGGCTACAGCGAGGAACGAGTTCACGAGCTTCCGGTTCTTGTTTTCGCCCATGTGTGGGAGTCCCACCATGCAATTGAAGGCCAACCATTCTCTGCTACCGCCTCGTTTCTTCATTCCGTCGAGCTCGTTTGCCAAGTCTTCGATTCCCATCTCTTCGAGTTTCAAGTTTAGGCCGAAGGACCTAGCATGGTGGCAAAGTTGCAATTTCGTGTCGTTGAACCTCCAAGGAGAGTGACCATAGCCTTCCTCTCCCCATCTTATTGATGTAAGCCTCACTGTCTTGTGTTGCATTGCCATGGCCTCGATCAACGGAGGCCATTGAATCCCCGATCCAATGTCGAAATCGACAATATGTAGCGGATCCGAATTGTTCGGCATGGCATCGAGGATTGCTGAGTTAGCAGCAAAATGAGCAAACCTCCCATAGGGGAATATCTGATAGAAAGCCTTGAAGGCAACCTCAAAGTTCCCGGAAGACTTTTGCAGTAGATAATCTCTTTGGTTTCGAACATCTTGAGACGATAAATTGAATGCGATACGTTCCAAGGTTTCGCCGACCGGACTAGCTTTCTCGCTCACACTCCGTAAGATCACCTCAGCAAGCTCTGTCTGGTTATTCTCTTTAGCTTCTCCGTAAGCAGTGAACAGATGAAATAGGGCCAACTGGTTATCAGTTTCCATCATGGCTTCTCCTAGGTACGGCATAGCAAGCGACGATTGCTCTGTCGTCATGCTGATCGATGCCTCGCTCGACAGACAAGGACTCCATACATCTTGCCTTTCTTCACCAACAGCATCAGTCAACATAGAATCAAGCCCCACCAAAGGGACTGAAAATTCCTCCCATGGCACTGTGACCTGAACCTGATCATCAAAATCATAGGCCGGATGCCGGAAAATCTCATCGAACAACATCCTATCGAAATCAGAAACGGAGGAAATCTCAGAGGAATCCAAGTGATTGATACTCGAATCCATCAAACCGTCGAACGGCCATGAAAGGGGTAAGTTTTCTGATTGCATCATCTTCCTGGTATATTGTTTTTGCTTTGAGCTCTCGATGATGGGATAAATTTGTGAGAATATATAAATAGTAGGTAGAGATGAAGAGTCATTTTGGCATATATATATATATATTATACATATAATATTAATCCAAATTTCCAATCAAATTCAAGGTTCCCTGTTGGGTCGTCTTCCTTAATTGGCAGCTTCTTAAGAGGTTCTACTTCATGGAAATTCTTTATTTAATCCTTAATTTTATGAATTTTTTAATGAAGAGATTTAGTTACGCAAACTATTCATTCCTTTTCATGGTTAAATGTAGCTTTCACTTAATGGGGAAGATAACCTTGGTTAACGTTACAATTATATATATATAAAAAATCCTTGTCATCATCAACATATAATATAAATATAAGGAAGAAGCAGCAGATGAAATTACCTGTGCAGATTATATTAGTAGTCAACGTGTTCTTCTCTGTCTGTTTAATTAACCTAATAAAAAGTTAATTAATCACGTAAAAATCCATTTGGTTCGGTTTATTGAGAAATTAAAAAGCTGAGTGAAAAAGAGACGGGAAATTATCTCAACAAATGACCGATTTAGGGGATGCATTACATAAACTGTTTGACCACCTTCACCATAAATGCCAGATCACATGAGGATTAAGAAAACCCTCGACAAATTCGTAATAATAATGGACAGCTACCCTTTCGGCTCCCTGCCTTTCAAAAATAAAACTTTACCAGAACTCGAACGAAAGAAGCTTTATAGCAAACAAAAAAGACGGGCCGATATAACGACCATAAATTCAGCTCATAACTCCATCACACGTTGAATCATACACTGCGTCCAATCTGCCGTCTCATTGAGCTGTTCATCGTCGGATCGGAGGCATTCGCAGATAAATTCATTATAAAATAAGCAGTCTTGAAACATATGTTTAATGTTGGAACCAAGAGCGTCTGCCAGATCGCCCATAACAGCAACCGCAGCTTTCGTCACACTTTCATCCCTGCAATGCACGAAAAGAAAAGTATTTAGATGGATAATAACAAAGGCTAAGCATCGACGTACTGAAGAGGAAATAATAAAGAATATAATCTACCTTTGGCTGTCTCTAAAAACCACTTCTATGAACTTCAAAAGATGCTGAGCATAGGGCACCATCACATCAGGTTTCACACTCTTAAAACCTTGAAGGATACCGGAATAAGCTTCAAAAACACTACGTCTGAGCTGGTTGCCGTAATCCATCATCTCCTCATCGGCAGTCTCCATCTTAGCACAGATTTCGGCTGCTCCCTGCATCATCGGTAAGGCATAGGGGACATACTTCTCAAAGTGCTCCCCAATAGCGAGAGCGATGTCCCCGAAACAAGAGAATATGGGAGGCTTTACAGACCTATGAAGTTCTGAACTACCGAGATCCTTCAGAAGAAGACCCATGATCCCATCACAATAAGGTAAGATCTTGTCATCCAAGGCACGGCAGATATCACCAACAACCCCAACTGTGATTCCACAAACCTGGTATTCCTCAAAATTCTGCAATCCCATCTCAAGATACTTATAGAACTCGGGCATATACTTCTCAAACTGAGAACCAGTCGCATAAGCAAGAGAACCTATTGCAAGCATTGCTTCCTCGTGAACAGTGGATCTATGGCAACCAAATACTTTGAGGAACAGAAGCATGATCTGATCAGCAGCCTGATGTATTATGGGTTTGGTTTCATCTGTGCTGCTAAGTTTCTGGATGATGACCTGCAAAACACCACAAAGACGGGCTTGCAAATCCCCTTGCTTTTCTCTATCATCTGATGAGACAATCTGAATTCCCATGGTCTGGCCCAACTTATTCGTAATGACCGGTAATAGATGTGCTATGATGGAAGATGTTTCCACAATGTTGGAACATCTCACAACTTCGTTCAAGGTTTCACAAGCAGAAGACCTGAGCTTGGAGTCACTACCATCTGTCCGATCAGCAGTTGCAATTAGACAACTAATTATGTCAGTGAGATATGGTGAAAGAAGAGAGGAGCTTGGTCCTGCATCCTCATAGCCTTGGACAAGGTAATAGATTGCCCCACAAACTTTCTCAGCTACATTGGGAGCATCCTTAATGCTCTCCAACAACACACCAAGAACTCGTTTGAGATCCTCAGGAGAAATGATGGAACAACCGTTAGCTGGACTGTGAAGGAACTCAAAAATGCGACTAAGAGTCCAAGCAGTGGAGTCCTTCACATGGTTGTTCCCATCCTCCATGGCATTAAGCAAAAACTCCAGACCCAACTGTACCAAAGGGAAGAGCTTATCAACAGTTGGACCTTCAAGAATAGACCCAAATGCATAAGTGGCAGCCTCTCTACTACGCCAATCTGGCTTCACAATGTTAGATTCCACAAATGGCATCACAAGAGGCACTATCACATCCCCAACCGTTCTAGCAACAAGACCCAGACAAGTCCCACCTGCCATTGATATGTTCCATACTGTATCATCCTGGTCTTGATCCTCTTCCTGCTTCAGCAAAGTTTCCAACAACAGAGGAACAAGAGACAACAAAGCCTTCTCTATGAAACTAGAATGGGGAGGTCCAGAGTCACCACTTTCAGGATTCTCAAACTCCTGAAGTTCAATCTCTTCATCACAGATAGAGCTCCAGAACTCAATTGCATGGAGAGCAACAGTCTCTTCATCGCCTTTTACAGCATTTGACGTCAGCTGAAATAGGGTTTGCATGTAAGGCTCAAGCACCTCATAGTATGCTGATGCTATTGCAACAAGGCACTCAAAAGCAGCCTGCCTGATTTCCACCTCTTTGGACATGGCAGTGTCACAAACAACCTTCATAATGTAATTCCGCTCCATCTCGTTCTCAAAGTTGGTCTGTGCAAACTCTAAAGCATTATACAAAGCCCTGGTTGCTGCAAGCCGAACCTCAGGCCCATGGTCAGCTAGGTTCATCCCTTGGACAACAGCAGTGAGAACAGCATTGACTTCATCTTGAACAAGGTCCTGATGAGATATCTCTTCACAAACATATCCCAGTGTTTCCAAGGTAGCTTGTTTCAGGGAAGCAGGCTTGTCTTGCTGGGTCATATTGTTAAGCAATGACCCAATCAGTTCAGGCCACTGCTTTCGAGGAACCTCAATTGAAGCAATTTTTGCAATAACTTGAGAAGAAGTGTGCCTGGCCTCAGGAACAGATGAGGCAAGAGTTTTCAAGAGAAAGTCTTTGATTTGAGACTTAATAGAAACATGAATTGCCATCCATTGTTGAACAAGTTGTTCCTTCCTAATAGCATCTTTGGCATCTAATGAATTCTTAAACACAATACCAGCCAATCTACGGGACTCAACAGGTTTTTCGTCATTTGAAAGCTCAACTGACAATGAAAGAAGGAAAACAGGTATGTTCTGTTCTTGAAACTGCCTCAAACTAGCCTCTGCATCTGTCCGAATTTTTGCATCTGCCGATTGGGCAGCCAACAGAAATTGAGTGATCTCCATGGCCATTTTAACTACACTGCAATTGAGAACATAAAACACTAATCAGCATTGTCGACCAGGATAAAAATCCATTAAAAGAGATTGCATCAGGTTATAATTGAACAATGTCAAAAAGTCCAAAAGTAATTAGCATTGTTGGAGCCTTGGAGGAGATCTTGAAGGAACGGACATATCAAAACCACACAAGTAACCCAACAAACAAAGATCAACATTTTACTGAGCCGAAAATAGAGTCGAATACCAATGCCATTGATAGGTAAACAGTGAAAACTATGCTGAAACAGCGAAACCATGATTTCCACTAAAACGCAATTAAACCCCTTTGCTTAATAAAGAATGTTCAAATTTTAAAAGCATGCAGTAACTTCTATGTTTAAAGTATATTTTCCCATTCACAACCCCTCACAACGATATTGTTATATGCTAAGCAAAGAAGAAAGAATTAGAGCATAATACAAAAGCCATAGTCTTATACGTTTACAAATAGGATGATCAATCAAACAGAAAAAAAAACATAACGAACTAAAAATATAATTAGTAAACGAAAATCAAACAAAAAAGAACAAGCAAACGGAGATCTACATATTTGAAAAAAAAACAAGAGAAAACGACAGCAATTTTTTTAAAAGCAGAAAACCAAAACCCTAACAAAAACCCACTGAAGTGCAAGTAAAGAACCATAGATCTGACACTAAAACAGATACGAAAAGGAACAGACGAACTCGAAGCAAAGATTGATATACCTCGAATAAATCTGCAATGAACAAGAGGGATTTCGAGATAAGCACACTGGAGTGGCAGAGAGAATTGAGGATTCTTATCGGCTAAGAAATAGATTTTGAAGAAATTGGATTGGATGATTTCAGGTATTTATATAGATCAATTTCGAACGATGGGAGGAAGCGGGATGTGAAAACTAGAGATGGACATGGACCCGAACGACAGGTCGAGATTTTTTTTTAATTCGTGTTTGCAATGGATCGGATCGGATCAGAGTGTTTAGAGGTTATGATAGATCCGGATTCGAGTTTAAGTTAAAATTATTCGACTTGTCCTGACTTATAAAAATATAATTTTATCTATATATTTAGGGATAATTACGATAATAATCATCTGCATATTATTTTTTCAATTAAATCTTTATTTTTATGAATAAAAATAATATTTTTAATAAATATATTATTTTAAAAAGAATTCATATTTTATCTCAAAAAATCAAGTCGAATTTAACTTAGATGGATAATATAAAAAAAATTTATCGGATCAAGTTAGGTATTAAGTAGAAGATATAAATTTTTTTAATCGAAATAAATTGACCAAAACCTGATCTAAACCTAACCCGTGCCCATTTATAATGAAAACACAAGCACATTGAAGAGGAACGGGAAACTCCTGCCCGTCGCCCCCCAAAATCCTAGGTTTTTTAAATCTCCCACGTGCGACGCTCTTCCCGCGTGTCGTTTGAATTATTTCGGGAATCTTTTTGGGCCCGTGGGCTTCCGCAAGTGTAGCCCGTTTAGGAGGGACAGGAAATATTGTATTTTATTTTACCAACGAACTTTTAAATTACAGTGAAATTTAAAAATTAAATTGATGATAGGCTGATAGCCTTTGACCAAAAAGGAAAAAAATTATAGATAGACTTAGGGGTGAGTATTCGTTCGATTTGAGTAAAAAAAATTGAGTTATTCGAGTTTTTATATTAATTTTGTTATAATTATTTATAGTATTATGGCAAGGAGTTAAGAAATTGGTGGGAAGAAATAATTTGGAAACAATTGTAGTCAAAAGATCAAATATAGTAAAATGTAAAGTAAAGGGACTAAATAAAAAGAGAGAGAACATTTTTATTAAAAAAAAAGTAAGAATTGAAGTTATATAAGTATTCTATTGTGGTATATGAGCATGTGGTTCAAATTTGGTAAAAAAAAATGGACTTGAAATAAAGGATGAATTGAAGAAATAAGAAAATTACGAAAAATTGATTGAAAAATAGAAAATTTATTATCAAAAAGAGGAATTGAAAGTACATATGTATTAGACAATGGTTTAGGAGCATGTGGTTCAAATTTTGTAAAAAAAATGGACTTGAAATAAAGGATGATTGAAGAAATACGGAAATTATGAAAAAAAATAAGGGACTAAATTGAAAAAAAGAAAATTTGTTATCATAAAGGGGCATTGAAAGCACATATGTATTTTAAGATAGTTTAGGAGCATGTAGTTCAAATTTGGTAAAAAAAAATAATAGACTTGAAATAAAGGAGGAATTGAAGAAATAAGTAAATTAATAGGGACTAAATTGAAAAATTGAAAAAAAATTATCAAAAAGAGGAATTGAAAGTACATATGTATTCTAAGATGATTTAGGAGCATGTGGTTTAAATTTGGTAAAAATTATACTTAAAATGAAGGAGGAATTAAAGGAATAATAAAATCAGGGACTAAATTGTAAAACTGTCAAAATATTGATTCAAATTTTTGATTTTTCGAGTAACTCGAAATTTCAAAATTTTAACTCGACTCAAACTCAATAACTGAAATTATAATTTGAGCTGACTCAAATAACTCCACTCGAATAACTCGAAATTGAAAAAAAAAGTTCAATTTTTTGACTCAAATTGAGTTTTGCTCACCCCTAGATAGACTAGTTTTTTTAATGAATTAAGATATTTATTTAAATTAATATAATATTAAGAATATTATAAATGTTGAATAAAATTCATTTACCCTAATAAATTGAAATAAAATAAAGTTTTGAGGATTTGAAGTGCACAGTCTTTTATATATTGTGTGTGAGATTATTGCACACAAGCATATATATATATATATATATACATATGTATTAAATTATTAAAATAAATCTCATAAATAAATTATTAAAAGCGTACTAATAAATAAATTATTAAAAGCGTACTAATTATGAAATCAACTAGCATAATTTAATTTAGGGTTAACTACACATATAATCATTTATGTTTGTGTTTTGTCCACTTTTAGTCACTAATTTCAAAAAATATAAGATACAGTCATTTTAGTTTTTATTTAATTAAGATGTGGCCACTCCGAGTTAACTACCGTTAACATCAGTTAAATATTTTGATAAAATCACACATTTTATCTCTGTTTTTTATACATTCTCTCAATTTAGTTATATTTTTAATAAATTAAAATAAATTATATATTTTTAAATGAAAAAATAAAATATTTTTAAATAACTTAATAATAAAAATATATTTAATAAGTTAATATAAAAATATTTTTAAGTTAATATATATAAAATTATATTATATATAATCTGAGTCACATGTACCTTGTTCATAACTTTTTTATTTTTTCTTTAAATTATATTATTTTTAAAAATATATATATAATTCTAAAATTCTAAAATTTAAAAGTCTATAATATATATATATATATATATAATCCACACATAAAATTTAAAAATTCAAATTAAATAAATAAAATAAATTTATTAAAAAAATAAAATAAATAAATTAAATTAAATTTCAAATGTTTTGAAGTTAAAATAAATATTTTAAAAAATAATTTAGAACATTAATGTGAAATAATTTAAGAAATTAAGAATTTAGAACGTTATGGTGTCAATTTAAGAAATTAGGATTTTAGAATGCTAGAGTGAAATAATTTGAGAATTATGAATAAAAATTTAATATAAAATAAAAATAAAAAATAAAAATATGTATAATAAATCGAGTATCGAGTCAACAGGTACCCGGTTAAGAAACATTTTGTGACCCAGGCCAGACTCAGATGCCCGAAAAAATAGTGGCCAAGTACCCAATCCATAAAATTAGGAATTTTTATTATAAATACCCAATATTTTTTAATTGGGTTGGCGGGTCGACGGGTATGGTTAATCGGGTTAGATATTTTTTAACATCCCTACGTGGCATGACATGTGACATTATTCAATTGGAGGATTAAATTTATTAAAAGTATGACTAGATTGAGAGAATATGTAAATAACATGGATCAAATGTGTGATTATATCAAAATATTTAATTGATGTTAACGACAGTTAACTTGGGGTGATCACATCTTAAATAAATAAAAACGAAAGTGGTCATATCTTAATTAAATAAAAACAAAAGTAATTATATCTTATGTTTTTTGAAATCAGTGACCAAAAGTGGACAAAACACAAACATAAGTGACCGTGCATATAGTTACCCTTCAATTTAATCCTCAAAATTTATTAGTCCATTTAAATAATTAAAGTTTAGAGGTGTGTACAAGCGAACCCAAAGTGTAGGGCAATATGTTACATATTATGGAAACCACAAAATACAAATATATTGGTATCCTTTGACATTTTATACTCCTTTGATGAAAATTAAATTTATATACTTTTTGTTATTCTATCATATGATTTCCCAACCATGCATACGTATGTATGTGAAGAATATACTGATAAAATATTTGCATACCATATGAATTATTAGGTAAACCCACCCGACAAAGACCCATGCTATTATTATAATACTAATTGCAATTAATGAAATGAGGCTTATGTCAAAGCTTGACCTCTAAATAAAAGGCAAAATTAATGTTATGAAAAAAATAAGTTCAGTTGATCACTAATTTATAATGATATGTTATTAGTTGGTTCATTAAAATTCATAATTCTATACCCTATGAATTACGAGCAAAATTCGATTCGGTTAAAAAAATCAATTTGACTTCTTGAATTTCATACATTTGACTCAACTTGGAAAAATTGAAGTAACGTTTGAACGATAAAGTGTGATCCGTCAACTCGACTAACTTAAATTTTAAACTTGATTTAACTCGACTCGATCAAATACTTACACGTAATTCCTCCTCCTTATTAAGTTTACTTTTAACCAAATTTAAATGGCATGCTCTTCTACCACTATAGAACATTCATGTAACTTCAATTCTTATTTCTAACAATAATTTTATTATTTTCTCAATTTAGTATCTCAACTTTATATTTTATTCGATTTGGTTTTTTTACTGTAATATTTTTTGCAATTTATTTATTCCATCAATTTTTTGATTCTTTTATACTCTCATCAATACTTATCCTCAAAATACTTCTTTAAAAAATAAAATTATAAATATATTTTATAATTTTATATGATATTTGATTTATTAAATAGCATTGCAATATAAATCCACACCTTTACATTATAAACATTTATAATTAAAATTGAACATAAATTTAAAAATTAGTCTCAAATTTCATAAAATCGAATAAAAAATACACATTTGTATAAGTTGAAATTCTAAATATTATTAAAAAAAATAACCATAAACTTTAAAAATATTTTACAAATATTTAAATGAGTATTTAACAATAAAATTGGTTATAAAAATAAAATTACTAAAGTTTAGGGTAATGGGTTTGTTGAAAACATCGGTCTTCCTGCTCTTATATTCTATGCTATCATCATTCGAATATTTAATAAATTTGCTTATCATCATAGCCTGTACTACCATGCATTAATTTATAAAATATTGAGATGACAATATGTATACAGTTTCACCTACCAAATAAAATATTTATTTAAACCCTAAGTCGAATAATATTAATATCGACATTTATGAAATTATTACTCGAGAATATGTCGTGAAGCTTCCTTCAAATAAACTTGACGGAATTTCCTTGGGTTGAATTATTTGAGAAGTATATGGTGGGATGTTGGTCATCATCATCATCATCATATGGCATCCCATGACCATGCCATAAATTAATATGCATAAGAAGACAGACATACCTCATTCTCAGATCTCAAGTAATGGCAGATCCGCATTAACAGGCACACGAATTCTCATGCAAGCCTTAAACCATATAGTACTATACGAATAATATATGATATTAGGCAGATACTAAACGATAAGAAAAGAAAATAGCATAAATTTGACTAAACTTCACCCTCATTTGTTTTAATTTTCTGGTGTGTATTGCTGTTCTCCATCGTCTTAAAGCTGTTTCTCCTTGTAAATTTTAAATATAAATAATATAAAAATATTATATATATATATATATATAATACACTAAAATTCTATTACTTTGTAGTTAATTTGCATGTTGATGTAAAAACTAACGACTTCACTTCTTTCTAGCTAGTTGAAATATTAACACTCATCGTGAGCGATAAGGTTATTGGAAATGTACTATTATAAAATAGGTCAACATTGATAAAAATATAAAGTGAATAAGAATCATTATTTAACAAATAAATTCGTCTTGATCGATGTAATCGTAAAATGAACATTATTTTCGAGACTAAACAATAAGACTTTAAAAATACTGAAAAAAATATTTATTGTTTGAAAATTTTAAATAAAAATAATTTTCTTAAAAAAAATGTGTGTGATACATGTCGAAGATACAAACACAAACAACACCGAATTGGATGAACAACGACGACACATGTATGTTAGACTTTTCAATTATTCAATAAGGACAAGAAAAAATACTGTAAATACTCTCTTATAAACCTTTTTTTCAACTAATATGAAATAATTCACTCGTATTACTATTGATGGTAACATTTGAATTGCGTGGGTTGTTTGTTGGGAGTTCAAACAATCATTGATTGATTTATGAGTCTTCTATTTTCTTGAGGAGCACGAAGAAAAATGCGTCAAGAAAGAGGTTTCAGATCTTTCTCTCGGTTTTGATCAATAAGTTTTATAATGAATTTGAGTATTGATTTCAAGTGTAGGATTATTTATAGGCTAACTGACCTAATAGATTTTGATTCTAACATATAATATACCAAAGGTCATGTGAAAGAGGTCACGATTTCTTGAGAAGTACAAAGACTTTGAGTCCTCGTGTTCAGAGATTAATCTTACAAAAGAGATTAGAAAGTGATATAACAATTACAAAACAAAATATTATCTTAATTGAACTGTTTAGAACTATCATATTTACAAAATTAATATTATAATAGAAACAATTAATATATATATCGATAAATATAATATTTTTGATCGATATGATAAAAATAAAAATATTATAATTATCTCTAAACCTATAGAATATATATAAAAATAGTGGTTCGATCAATGAGCTGTCCGAGGAGGAGGGGGTGGAGCAAAGCCCGTGATTCCCGTTGGGAAGGCAATTTCTTAATCTTTTTTTTTTTCTTCTGAGTTTGGGTCTGCATCAGCTTAGCATGCTTCCCATCCCTCGCCCTTTAACTCATAACGTGACTCATTTCTTGGCCTTAAAATAGAATCGAATTTTTAATACGAATAAAAATCATCTTTCGCTTTATTCTTTTTTGTATTTCGCCGTTAAAACTTTTAAATTTTATCTCAACTTTCACGTAAAATTTTTTATTTCATTTCGATATTATATTCTTCGTAGAATAATAAAATAATCATTATAGGTTGGACGGGGAACAATGTCAACAAGGCCGCCATCTTGAGTCACGCAAAATTCTTTTATTACACTTAGCCTGGTGACAAAATTAATACGAACAAAAGTCCACTTTGAAGTAAATAGTGTTCGATTTTTAATTCCGACAAACTAAACTCGAGGTCTGATAAATTTTCTTACAATAGTAGGGTGAGAATCTCTAATTCCATGCCAAATTACTAACTTATCCCTGGTTCCATATCTTCAATGCATGATTTGACATCCATTCATCCATACATCCATGCATGCATGTATTATATGTGCATGCATGGATGAATACAATACCATAAGTAAATATTATTGTTTACTAGTCCCAATCCCAAGAGAGAAACAGGTTTGTCTGTCTTCCCTGTCAAGATCTAGGGTTTTCCAATCTGTTCAGAGATCTGTTTGAAGCCAGTTTTCTCTCCGTCTTGCCCTTACAAGAATATCAAAATCGAGTTCACGTTGATCCACCAAGAAAGCTAAAGCAATTACAAATTATTGGGATTTTACAGCCCTCCAAATTTCATGCTATGATTCCTATGCTTGGATAAAATCAAGATGGAGAGAAATAGCAGCACCGAATGCTCAAAGACAACAACAACCCCATCTAAACAAAACCGCCCTCGGCCCGAAGACAACGACCGTGAAAGCAAGCCTAGAAATGTAGGAAGCTCGAGCAACAGCACGGTGGAAGAGAACGATAAGAAGCCATCCGTTAGGCCTTATGTCAGATCCAGGACGCCGAGGCTCCGATGGACACCGGACCTCCATCTTCGCTTCATTCGCGCCGTCGACCGACTCGGTGGACAAGACAGTGAGACTTCATCGTTGATCTCTCTAATAGGGTTTAAATCGCGCTCGCGGTCGCGTTTTTGGTTATTTCGGATTTACCGTGATTGCGGTCGTCGCGGGTAGCTCGGACAGCGGCGAAACCGCTATATCGCGGCCGAAGTCGCGGTCGCGGACCGTTTTTTTGAAACCCTGCTCTCTAGTATCATCTCAATTTGTCTGCAATTTCTTTTTTAATCTCTCACTTCGATGCAGGAGCTACTCCGAAGTTGGTTCTTCAGCTGATGAACATAAAAGGACTTAGCATCGCTCATGTCAAGAGCCACCTACAGGTTGTGATTCATTTATTTATAGATTTGATAATAGGATTAATAAGAGACAACCCTTTGATATATTTTGTTCTAACAATCTTTTCCATCAACTTTGGGGACTAATTTTTCTTCAGATGTATAGAAGCAAGAAGATTGATGATCCAAGACAAGGTACGTATGTAGTTTCAATTAGGGTTTCGAATTTCGATCAATGGTCTTCTCTAATGCATATACCTTAACATATGGCAGCCGCGAATGGTCATAGGCATCTTGTGGAAAGTGGAGATCGAAATATTTATAACTTCAACCAACTTCCCATGCTGCAAGGCTATAAGAATCATCACCAAAGATATAATTCTAACACTTTCAGGTACTAAAATTAATCAAGAACCAATAAATGCGCGTACGTACTATTGTAGTTTAAACCCACATTTTTGCTTGTTTTTCAAGATACGGTGATGCTTCTTGGAATGGCCGACAGTTCTCAATGCGTAATCCTTATACGAGCCGTAGTTTCATCGATGAACGAAGACCGGGATTGCATGGAACCGTGACGGATAGGATCTTTAGAAGTAATTGGACGATCAATTATGCTTCCCCTTTCAATGTATTGAAGAAAGAATTTCCATCGTTCCTTACTCAGCCAAGTACTCAACCCAAAGTAGAAGACGAGACAAGTTTTATCCGGAACACCGCACATGAGCGTAAGGCGATGAAAAAACCGATATCGGACAACAACCTCGACTTGGATCTATCATTACGACTAACATTGCTGAATGAGGAGCGGCGGAGATGCGTGGAGGATGACGATGTAGGACGTGACTTATCACTATCGTTGTGCTCGCCACCGCCACCAAAGGTTAGCAGATTGGAAGGAGAAGATAGTAGTAGGGGGTTTGGAAGAAGGGTAAGTACTCTTGATCTGACTATATGAATGGGGAGAATTCTAAGTGAGATCTTGAGGTACTTATCCTAGGTAGAGGAAAGGGTTTTTCTTGTTGTCCAATTGTAACAATATTACACTAATCGATGATAATAACTTTTTGTTTTTATATGTAGTGTGATTCTCTGTTGTTTCCTTCACATTATCAGCTCCGTTCAAAGTTATGTTGAAAAAGAGACAGGCTACACAGTTCTAGGTTCATACTAATCTTGCTGACAAAAATAGAACAAGACAAGTCTTGTTGGCAATAAACTAGTTCAGGTGATTCTTTGAAACAAGAGCACAATATTAGAGAAAAGGGGCAAATTTGATGGGATAATGGTCTAGAAAAAATAGTTTGTATGTAACGTTGGAGAATTTATTTTCTTAACTAGGGTGAAATGAATAGTGAATGTAGGTAGATGACAGTTCATTCGACGTTTTTGGAAAGATGTATGAAAGATCCAGCTTCTTTAGGTCTAAATTATATGTAGTTTGAACGTCAATCTTAGTAAAGTACCAATCCATAAGACATTGACATTAGGTGGTCTGGTCGTCTTTCTTGTGAAATGTTCATTCTACCCTAATTGAGAAAGTAATTTCCTTGCAACTCATATGAGTCATGTTAGAAAATATATTGCAAAATGATATCATTAGCACTAACTGAATAATTAAAAACAAAACAAACCGTAAACACATAATCGTGTAGTGGTACTAATCACTACATGTCAATCTTAGAAACAATTTCACCTCGATGTGTGTAATCGCTGCAGTAGGGGATCGTTTTCCGAGGTTAACGTGGTAGCTCCGAATAATCGTACACCCAAAATAGGAGTGGACTGACGGTGGTACTACTCTTCTCTTAGCTCTGAAAAATTATAGCTTCGAAAAGCTTTAAAGGAAAAAGGATTTCGTAGAGGGAAAAGATTTTGTTTGTAAGTTGGATGATAAAAAAGTGAGAAATGTTATGTATTTATAGGCTCTATTCACATACACATAGCAATAACTCAGGCTTAATCCATGCAGCTGTTACAGCTATTGCCATAAAATTGTTATGAAACAGATAAATAAGCTAGATTTAATCCTCTAATAATGCTGATTAAAAAAGTTATCTGCTGATGAGTCTAACCCCAAAGGCGTCTAGATTGATCTGTGAAAATTCAATAGAAAAACAAACTAGATTTAATTTTATATTAATATTGATTAAATATGTTGTCTGCTGATGAACCTATCAAAAAATGTTTAAATTCAGCCTGTATTATCTGTTATACGACAACAATTTTTTTTGAATTAATCATTGGTATCCGATCTATTATACGATAATAAATTTAATTTCGAAAAATACTCTAATCACATATGCGAATGTTTGTTTTGAATACCATGGGAGACAAAAAGACTCGAAGAAGACCTTCCACTCAGGTAAACCCGATCGATCAGTGGCGCTGTGGATTCACCGTTTTTGTGGATAATGTGAGCAAAAGAGTACACCCGAGAGCGTTGGGTGAAATCTTTCAAGTTTTCGGCACCGTACTGGATGTGTTCGTTGCATACAATAACAGGAAAAGATGGCGTAAGAAAAGCACGTTTGCGTTTGTGAGGTTTAAGAATCGTGAAGAAGTATTTGATGCAGTCGAGAAAGGGTCACGGAGAGTAATAGACGGTCTAACCATAGAGTCTATCTGTCGTTTGGGAAAAATAAAGGCCAACCAAATCGGGTGGATGATCAGCGTCGGAGTGTGATGAATGTGAATCTCAGATGAGCAAGGTCTGTTAAAGAAGCTTTGCCAAGTCGGGTGGACAATCAGCGGCGGAGTGGGAAGATTGCGAGTCTCAAAGGAGTGAGGACGTTTAAAGAAGCTTTGTTGGATCAAGCAGAGCCATGTTATACAAAGCGTTCAACAGAACAGGGTGGTAGAGGTAAAGTTGCTGAAGCGTCTGAGGAATTGGTCAATATTGTGGATGAAATTCAATGTGTGGCTGTTGAATCAGGTGATAATTTGTCAAAGACTATCTACATTCTGAAAGCAGACAGTGTTTGGAGAAGATGTTGCTTAGTGGGCCGTATTAAAGGGATGTATAATGAAGTTTTAGTCGGCAATGTTCTGAACAGTGAGAAAATTAGTCCGTGGCATGGACTTTTGGTTGTGCGACAGTTTTGATAAAAGACAAACAAAAGTGACTCAAATTATCTATTCGTGCTCCGGTTATTTACATAATTTCACACATTAGTCAAAATAATTAATTTATAATTAAATCCATTATCATATTCTTCAAAAAAAAAATCCAAAAACTCTCACCCCCAAAATTCATTCAAAGTCTCCATTACCGGTCTCATTCACTACCATCGATTGTCCTTGACAGTGGCCATTGGATCCCAAACTTTTAATTCACTTTTTCTCTATCATTTTTTATTCACTTTTTTATATCATGAATGCAGTCCGGTTTAATTACCCGGCTTTTATCGATATTTCAAAGAGCGAAAATGACAACAAATACATATAAAATCTCGTGGTGTTATATTGCATAGAAAAAAAAATGTCTGCTACATTTTAAAGCTAAGATTATTTTTGGACATCAAACCTGCTCCACCACTCTGCTATCCGACCGCCACCTACAAGCAAATTTATCCTCTGCCATCATCCACACCTCTGGAATTGGGTCTTGTTCTGGACGAAGGTGAACTTATTCGGAGACGCCGGCTCCGACGACGAATAATCTTGGTCATTCGGATCACATCGAGAGCACCTCGTGTAGAAGAGGAAGATCAGAAAGGAAAGAAAGGCGGCGAATAGAAGGAGCAAAACAAGCATCATAATCTCGCCGTGCAAGGCGAAGTTTCTGTCGTGAGAGAGGAGGAGGTGATCGTCTACTTGTCGAGGATCACCGGAGGCCGCCATGGAAGACGATACCGGAGGAGAAGGAGGAGGAGTCATATGGGGAATTGAATAATATCTTCAATGGTAGAGATTTTAGGCTGAGGGAAATAAATAAATAAATGTGGCCAATGAGACACTAAGGGAATTTAACTTTTCTTTAATTATTATTTGAATTTAACTTTTCTTTAAATTATATATGTATTGAGGAAATATTTCAATAATCGATTGAATTAACTTAATTGATCGTATGGCACTAAACGATTAAAATGATAACATTATTAAATATCATGTAATATAATCTGATTGATTACTAAATTATTATATTTAAATTAAATATCTTTTTTAATTTATGACTTAATTGAAAATAAAAAAATAAATATTAATTTTAAAAAGGGTCAAGTACACAAATGGTCCCAACTATAGGATAATGTTTTATCGAGTCCCTTGATTATTAAATGTTACAAAATGATCCCAAACTATAAGGATTTGCTTTATTGAATCCCTCAACTATTAAAAGTTACAAAATAGTCACTCGATTATTCATTATGTTCCAAACTTGCCATTTTCTGTTAAAATTTTGATGTTATTGTGAGTTGTACGTTAACATACTGACTAATATATGAAAAAATGCGATCTCATAATCTCAAATGACTATCATATCTCAGACTACTGTTAATTTATCCCTTAATTAACATGTCATACTGAGTTCGTATCGATACCCTCTTCAACTGGTATCAATACTACCCTTAAGAAATACACATATTTATCCCTTGAAGTATCATTAATGTTCTAACGGTACCGATACTCGAAGCCCATAATGGCTATTTTCACTTCGAAAATAATCCAAAAACCTCCTAAATCTCTTTTATTCATCACACCTTAATACTCTAAATTCACCCATATACTTTCAAACCAACCTGTCCTCATTTACTACTCCCTAACAAACAAAATCTCACTAAAACACTTACATCTAAAAATCTTACCATGTTTTCAACCAAGCTATTAATCATTTCTAATACTCCTAACCTTTTAATTAGCTCATTGACAAGTCAAATATCTCATTAAAACTTCAAAAGCTACTCCATATCAAAATTTCATTTCTAAACCCATTTTACAATTTCATCTCTAATTTATTTCTCTTGTTGTTTTACTACTATACCAGCTTTCCTTAAGCTTATATAGCACTTAAGCAACAAAACTAACCCCAAAATTTAAAGAAAACAACAATTTTCATAATCTTACCTTTGGGAGTGGAAAGGTGCACGGTAAGAAGAAGAATAAATAAAGAAAGAAAGAAAGGCTTCAAGATAACTCCAATCCACGTGCTTATCCCCTAAATAAAGGAGATAATTATCTTTTAATAAGAAAATACCACATTGTCCTCTCCATAAAAGTAAAATTTCCATCAAGTCCCTACACATAAATTCCACCATAAATATTTGAATTTATCAAATTATTCTAATTCAACCACTGAGTTTACAATTCTTACATTTTAGTTACTGACCCGATAATTTGGATGTTACACCGAGGGTCCGTAGTAGAGGCCAAAATTTTATCCGCAATTCAATTCTAGAAGGCGGTGCACAAGGAGGAGTTGACCTTCTTGGATGTATTGGTGTGTGATAAGCTAGCCACAACCAAGGAAGTTCCTGACGTAGTGAGTCACATTTTGGTAGAATTCAAAGATGCGATGTCTGCTGATTTGTCGAAGAAGTTTCCTCCAAAAAGGGAGGTTGATCATAAGATTGAGCTTGCGCCAAATGTGGAGCCACCCGCTCGAGCCCCTTACCGAATGGCTCCGCCCAAGTTAGAGGAGATGTGCTGACAGTTGAAGGATATCCTTGATACTAGATACATCTGACCATCCAAGTCCCCCTATGGTGCACCGATGCTATTTCAAAAGAAGCATGATTGATCTTTGCGAATGTACATCAATTATTGGGCTTTGAATAAGCTGAAAGCGAATAACAAGTACCCAATTCCTCTCATTGCAAACTTGTTTGATCAGCTTGGTGGTGCAAGATGGTTCACTAAGTTGAATTTGCGATCAGGCTATTACCAAGTCAAGATAGCATAGAGAGATGAACTAAAGACATCCTGCGTGACTAGGTACGGTTCCTATGAGTACCTTGTGATGCCCTTTGGCCTCACGAATGCTCCTGCCACTTTCTGTACCCTGATGAACAAGGTGTTGCAACCCTTTTTAGATCGATTTATTATAGTTTAC